AGGTCTGATTCTATTTTGTCTTTTAATGTCTGAATTAAACATGATAACAGAATTAGAAAACGGCTTTACATTACGACACTTAGTCCAAGCTAATCCATCAGCTAATGCTAAAAACATACTTTTCACCAGATGAAAATATTATTAACAGAATTGCCTAGATAATATACATGTTATGCACATGAGAGCAGCAAAGGCTTTTCCACTGAAATGCCAAAAGCTGCATTCTTTTTAGTATAAATCCTGCACATAATGGTACGAGGAGGACATGCTCTGAGTGGGAGTTTAGATCAATACAAACAAACAGCAAGGACACCTCTGGCAATAGCAACCACACCTTTAATTAGTTTTCAGAATAGCCTGTTAACATGTTGTAATAAAAAGGCCAGCTAAATGATATCCTACTATGTAATTGGCCCATTCAGATACAAATAACTGTATTTTACATAACCATCACAAATCAGATTTGAAAAAGGGAAAAACTGTGGGAGGTAAAAAATATAATAGACAGTAATAAATATTCCAAATCAAATATTGTGCATGTGTCAATGACATAAAGGCTGATTAAGTCCTCAAACTTGTACTGAAGAAAAGGTAATATCCCAGTGTTCATAGGCTGCTGGTATAGCATCATCCCTCCCCCTCACCACCATCTCATTAATAGAAACTCGATTTGCGGACAGCTGCACTCGCGTACACATTATAGGAGAATTGATTGCACCCAGCACACAATGAAAAGGATGAACACCAGGGAGGGAGGGAGGGAGTGAATTAATTAAGAGAACCAGGTGGTCAAATGTTGGGTGGAAAATCACTAGCTAATGACACATCACACTGTGGACACAGTCTTGCAGTGGACGGTTGTCTATTGTTGAAATACTGTCGCTTCATCTGAAACTGACCTTATGCTCCTTGAGCCACATGGCAAATGAGCCCGGGTCAGAATGCATATTCCTCTCAATAATTATACATAAAATACCCCCAACACAAACATTAAGTGACGAGTCATTTAAATGAATGATTGTTGTCATCATAGACAGCACTGGGCTGATACGTGGGGCAACTGGGTAATCCTTCCTTTGCCTTAAATTATCAGCTCATTTGCATTTCAATGAGTTGTGTTATCGACACTCTTTTGATGTAGAGCGGCATTTTCAGATACATGCTATAATTAGGCATGTCTAATATGCTATAGTCTGATTAGTAATACGTGAAGGATTTGGAAACATTATCAGAATAGCTTACTTTGTTTCACTCATAACTCTTGCAACTTTTGACATGCCCTATATATATATATATATATATATATATATATATATAAAGCATTTTGTGTGTTATTGAGGTACTTCTGTGTAGTTTTGGGGTAAAGAAAAAAAGTCTCACTAAAAAAGGTATATTATCATATGGGAAGATAACAAAAACTAATATTATTTGGAAGATCTTATTTATTAATGCTGGGGTATATGACTTTTTTTTATTTAACTACTACTGCTGTGCCATAACAAAACTCATGATTTGCTTAACCAAGAAATACATGCATGCAAAAAGCTTTAATTTGAGCAAGTGGTAACGTGCATTACAAACGTCCACCATTATAAACAGACTCAAAAGGGGATTCAAACTTTTAAATGTATCACTTAATTGATTTACCTTTACACTTTAACGTTATCGCCATCGTTCAATCAAGTGGATATGATCACACACTATAGTACACAATAAAGCACGAATTGAAGTAACAAAGAACCTCATTTCAAACTACAACAGCCTGGTAATGTGGGTGTTCAAGTTATTTTGTATGTGAACGTATTGGTTTAGCAACGGATTGCAACGTAACGTGAAGTTGACTTAATGTAGCAATTACGCATTATCTTAACTTACGTGAACGTTACACATAAAAGCTTGATCACTAAAGCAAACATAAGACCCATTTTAGCTTAGCTATGATGTGTGGAAAATGGCTCTTCGCCCGTCTTACCTGGCCTGTGCTTCGTCCAGGCTTTCGTCGGTGATGGCCATTATTTGCTGTAGGATATCCCCTATGTCTTGTTGAGGTTGGCCGAGGGACTGCTGTTTTCTAACCGAGTCTTGATCACCGACATCGGCTTGTGCTAGTCCAGCGAGTCCTGTGAGACCCGTCAGCATCCTGGTCTGGTCATCCATACTTTCAAAGAAAACTCGACTCGTCTTCTTCAGTCGAAGAATACACACAAATAGCTAGCCTGTTAGCTAGCCAGCAAAGTATATTCTACGACCAATCATACAACAATTCTTACCGTAACCGACAGCGACGACTAGAAAATAGTTAAGGGCTGGTGTCATAAACAGATCACCCAAACACGCTTTACATTCACTTGTGTTTTCCCCCTCTAGTCAATAAACGCGGCCAGGCTAACGTTAGCTAACCACCGAATGAAAAGCAGCTAGGTTAGTAGCCGTAGCCCAGCAGAAAAGCAGCAGGGACACACATGCACAGACTGTGTGAGCTGGCCAACAGCGCCTCGCACATTTTCGGAAAAAAAAAAAAAAAGGCAATAGACGACCACTGTTGTGAAACTAAAGCTCGCAAATACAAAAGAAGAAATAAGACGCGCAAACAGCCACTAAGCTTGTCTAGCTCCAATCAGCAATCTCCTACCAAAACACACTATGGTTAACCATTGTTGTTGATGTCGCGCGAGTATGTGGGACGTTCTGGGCTGCGCGAGCTGAGTGCGTCTCACTGACCATTGAACTCGCAGCACCACAGAGCGCGAGCTTGTGGGTAGTCTACTATAGAGACGCTACACATATAGAAACATATTCTGTATTAGCTGGTGCCTTGTTGGATACAGTGCATCAAATCATAATTTTGTGGCATTGCCCTCCTTAACCTATAACTGTATTATGGTTCAGGTGACAAGATCCTCCTCTTCTACGCTCTTTACAAATGGATAGCCCCTTACGTCATCAGCATTGCTTGTCCTATTATAATTAGTCCATGCCATTTTCCTCATTAATATAAGGTAAGATTCCGTACCTAACAATATTATTTTCTCAACACAACTTTCAAATGCATGCTTGTGGACATTTAAAGAACTGAGATGTGCTATTTTTAAATTAAACATGCTGTAGCTTCATATAGCAATTAGACATCATTGTGTAAGCAAGATGTTAGAGCCTCTGTCGTTTACGAATATTGGTTTGAGAATGTGCATTGTGTCTAACAAACCACAATACCTATTCCCGCTTTCCATGTTTAATAGAATAAAATGACATATTTGGTCTCTCAGAGTTAGTGTCATTTAATTATTTGTGCCTAACAGTCAATGCAAAGATATTCATGTGTATGGGCAAATTGTGGACATTTCAAGAGCAGTATTCAATCTTAAAGCAAAACAGTACAACCTGAGAATATCATTTTGTCCTAAACCCCCGATGAATGAAACTTCCCATCAGTTTTCAGTATGAAAATGTCGACAGCACAGATTGAAAACAAGTGTCCTTGTTTTTTGCAAACTGGGCAATTCTGCTGTAGTTTATCACTCAGATCAGAGAGACAGCTTTCCAAGACGAATGGCTGGCTGAATGGATGTGGAGGAGAGCTGCAGCCAGGCTTGCTGTAGTGAGAAGAGATGATGGGTGTGCATGAGGGAGTAGGACCAAACTGGCAGTGGTTTATGCTGACTCTCCACACATCCATCTACTACAATCTGTAGCTAATCAATCTAAAGTTAGAGACAACAAGGATAGAGAATAAAGCAAGCATAAACAGTCATTGTTCTTTGCATGTGCATATAGTACAAGTCACACTTTAGTCTTGGTGGTATTATCAAGCAGTGTATTTTATTGTTTACCCCGGCCACAAACCCATCTCTATTCTTATTTACATTCAACAGTTAGGTAGATAAAGAAAAAATAACCTTTCTAAAAATATTCAACAAACAAGAACCTGGAGGGACTGGGCACAACGCGGGCACCTTTATCCAAATATGCACCTAAATCAAACACTTAAAGATGGCTTCTAACATGCCATTGACATGGGTCATTGAGGTTTTTAAAAGGATGTTTATTATACAATTGAAAGTGAGGAACTGCAGGGGTTATCATCTAACTCTTAAGTCAGTCTCCCTGTCAGGAGAGACTTTCCCTTGAAAGTAAAAAGACTGTCAGAGGCTTTGTTAACTTCTTTATCTGTTTTATTGTTGGTGATTCATTTAAGGATCATTTCTGTGAAACTTCTATTCATTTGGATGCTAAAGCTGCCCTCCTCTCACCCCACAAGCATCAAGCCTCATTTTCATCTAAATAAGAATCGATCTTTCCTGCTGTGCACCATCCTCCCTTACTCACAACTCTCACGGTCACAACCCTGCTTGTCTTCTCTGTGCTTGTCTCCTGCTCTCTAGTCGCTCTCTTGAATACAATAACAAGAAAATTCAGCATACCCATGTTGGAGCTCAGAACTGCAGAGCAGGGAGTCATTCACACTCAATGCATTGTTGTCGATGTTAAAAGGGGGATTATTCTCTATTATCAGAGAAAAATTAAGTATGAACATTAATGAGTCCAAGTGATAGGAGTGATAGGGAACAAAGCGTTGACTGACTGGTACAATGTCAAAGCTTCGTTCTGCATCAGTGACCCAGCCAAATGCAAGAGATGGGGGTGAGTCACGGTGGGGGAGGGGCCTCCTCCTGAATGGTCAGGGGACACTGATGAAGTGAAATAGATGCAGCACCAAAGAGAGAATAAATGTAACTGGGGACGAGCGTGTAAAAAGGATGTATATAAAAAACACTTTATGGATACCTTATATTCAATATTTGTCAAAGTTGACTAAGTACATTTCAATTGATACATTGGCGTTTCTTCACAGGTTTAACAACATTATATGTATACACACCAACATGGTTCAGCTTCTCTTTGTGTGTCTTTTTAGTATATTCATAAATGTGTAGTAATCAAACCACTTAAAGTGTCCTTCCAATACAAATGTCAGACTCAATTTTTAAGAAACAGTCAGGTTGGTTCCCAATATAGAGATTATTTTTTTTATTTCAGGAACAAGGAGCAATTACTTGTTTGGGGGGGATGTTTTTACAAAGGTTTGGGAAACATTTGCTTGTTCCTTAATTCCTAACAGCTTGCAGTCTAGTCTTAACAGCTTCAGGTTTTACAGGTAATACAATGAATGATGGCCTAACAGAAAAATCCACTCTGGCCTTTCACCAAGCTTCTCATAACATTGTATAGCCAGCCACTGCCACCTGCTGGTCAAACACATGGACTAACTGAACTATTGCCACAGTCAGACATGCAGCGGACAGAAGTCAGAACATTCTTCTGACAAAGAAATGTATATAATAATTCCAGACGAAAAAAGACTTGGCAATGAAAGTTTTCAAATCACATGTCAGTGAATTTACCAGAAGGTACACAAATATATGAGCTTCATCAATAATCCATAATGAGCCATGACCAATTAGATGATCGATTGCTTGTGCTTGCCTCCAGCCAAAGGGACTATGAAGTTGTCGAGGGTAAAGGTGCAGCAATGAAATTCCTGATGAGGTCAGGCAAAGAATCCTGGATTCCAACCTCTGCCGCTGTTAGGTAAAAGTAATCACAGTGATTGTTAAATTACAGCATTCCAGTTTATTCAATAGAAAAAATAAAAGGTAAATAAAATCCTTACCCAATCTGCCACTGGTCTCTTTCACCAATAACTGCAACTGCTCCTTGATGGATGAAAGCTGTTTAACCATCTTACTTTGAGTGTCCATCTACACATACCAAAAGAAACAACTGATTACATAACATGGAAAAGCAATAAAATAAAGATAAATAAATCATGTTACTTGCTTTTTAAGGTTTGATGCATTCATAATTGAGAAATAGTCAGCATGTTTACAGTGTAGTATAGCAAAACATATTCATAAGAAATCAAAGATCCATATAAGTTAAGGTTTAGAATATACACAGCAACTCAGAACTTGAACCATGAATGTGTGGGTGATCAGTGACAGTGCTGGCAACAAAAGCAAACAACTTCTTACTCTCATTCTATTATTTATATGTTTCTAAACTTTGATTTGTGCAAAAGAACACGTGACCAACATTTTTCCAAACTAAAATCTCTTATGTGAAAAAAACCCATTAAAACTCTGGCAAAAAAGAAATTGTCTTTTTAAAGCATTTATCATGTTTCTGCAATACATCCACATTATGACTATGTAGCAAAGCATATTGTAATTAGTCATCAGATAAGTCAAATGTGGATTTATTATTATTCTATTGGTTCCCAAAGTCCAAGGTATGATTAGGAAAAATGCCAATGGCAACATTTATTCTGATTGGTTTAAAGTCTTAAAGCTGGCATGGACTGCCAATAAGAGAGAAGCATCTGCTTAATGTTTCATCACTCTCACCGCAGCCGGCTTCTATATTTTACAATACACCGCCATACGCCATATGTGAGAACAATGTAGTATTTATAAAAACGTTCAGCTTTTGCTAAAATTGTCTGTAGTTTGTACTGTTACTAGGAGTAAAGAGGTTAAAGTGTAATTTCCAACCTACAATCATTGTCATAGTGTGAAGCATGGGCAGTTGTCGACAGAGCAGAGCGTTGTAGTCGGGTTTGCTCTGAATGCAATGGTACTGTGATGACTGGGCTACAGATGCTGAGTCTAATGGTATGCCTCCTTCCTGGCCCCGTTCCACTTTCCTGAAACAAATAAAGAGAACATTATTGAAACACAATTGAGAAGATAATATTGGCACACGCTAACACAGTATTGCTACAAGATTCCTCAATGAAAGTGTTCATGTTCACCTCGCCAGTTCCTCTGCTTTACTCCTGTGTTTGTTCAACAGTGCCTCCCAAGATTCACTTTCAGCCTGCAGCCTGAAAAAAAAAATCACAGACTGGTAAACAAAATAATGTAATGTGTAGGTCACATCATGTTTGTTTTTAAGATTGAATGTATGGTTATTGGTGCATGTAATGTGTGTGCTGAAGTGATATCGAAACACCATACCTATTGAGAGCCTTCTGTAACTTTTCGTTGGCTCTATGAACTGCAGGATCACTAGAATTGAAGCAAATAACAGGAGATAAATCCAGTAATAAACGTTAATTTGTATGTCAAAAAACATAATTAAATAAATATGATATAATTCATACACAGTAGTAAAAAAAAAAAGGCAATTATACCTGGCTGCTTTGGTAGAGAGTTCATCATTCTCTGGTTCTTTGCGTTTTTTAAGATGTCCCCAATCTTTCTCCATGTGCTCAACTGTACCAAAGACAACACAGAACACATATAAATATATATAATGAACTTAATATTTCTTTGACAGTTATTTATGTTGAAATATCCACCAGGTGAAGCAGCTTATCCTCCAACCTTTTTTTTGTAATGACTCCAGTGAGCTGTTCGGTACTGATTGCAGCAAATCCTGAGTTCTTTCTATTGCCATCTAGAGACAAAGCAGAGTTAATTAGACAGTGATTCATTAGTCTTAGAGGCTAATTAAAGTGAACTTTATGTTCTCTTCCAACCTAACATCAAGAAATGTACAGACTACTCATTATGCCCAGAGGATTAACCTTTAAGACATCCTTTGTGCAGAAGGTTTACAATTCTTGAGTGGTGTTCGTTCCAGAGCCAATGCCCATTATTTGTTATTACCAAGTGGTTCATTTTATAATCCAACATGTGTCCACATATTTTCAGTTAAGTGAAAAAGATTATCTTTGTCTCAAATCGCCAATAAAGAGACCTGAGAGATGGACCTATAACAGGGGTGTACAAACTACGGCCCGCAGACCATTTTTGAATCGGCCCTCAGCAAATTAAAAAAGTATAATGGAATATGGCCCACAAATGAAACTTGTTTGTATCCCGTTAATAGTTCTGGTCGTAAAGAACCGGGTGATTTGCTACCGTAATTTCTCGTTTGGAATATGAGGAAATGAACTGCGGTCTGGTTCTCCCTGTGTGTGTGTTTCGCTGCGCTTACCGGTCCGGCGGGCGGAGCTGCAGGATTTCTGCTTCACACACGTTGCATACCGCTATTTTACTGTCTTTTTCGGACACCTTAAAATAATGCCAGACCGGTGAAGCCATTTTGGCGAGCTTGTTTTGCCGCACACAGAGAAAAGTGTCATGTATTTTACGTCATGCGATCGGCTCTCGCGATCGGCATGTTTAGAGAGCACCGATCAATCGGTAGAGAGTGAGTATCGGCCGATCTCGATCGGTGACCGATCGATCGGAGCATCCCTAATGAAAACAGAGACTTTCGACCCAAAACCAGCTGTTGACTTGTGGATGCAAGCAGCTAATCACAGACTCAACCAGAGAGAAAGTAGTAGGCCTACATCATCAGCTACCATGTCTGACAGAGAGGAAGACAGTGAGGAGAACAGTCAGGAGGGTAGTGATGACAGCTTGTAGGATTACTGGTCGTGCTAATGTTGTCTTGTGTTCACCTCTGCACGTGTGTTCTGTGTTCACCTCTGCATGTGTGTTCAGTGCCGTGTGTCTGGCAAATAAAGTCAAGACCCCCTCAAAAGTTACGGTTTATTTCATTTTAAGGATGAGCACCAAGCAACATCTCCAGGTGCTCCTTTGAGAACCAGGGCAAAAAAGTTATGTGCACCCCTGATTATATTGTACTTCTTAACTATAAATGTAAAGATATAATACACGGTATTCATGTGTTAATAAGACCACTTTTCAAATAATTTCAGTCAATTAAAGTTGGAAACATTTTTCAAACATATCTTAGTTGATAAGAAAAAAGCCCAATGACTTATTTACACAACAAGCTTGAAATATATGGAATGCCGTTTAAGCAAAAATTAAATAAATACATAATTAATTAAATAAATAAATGTGCCCATGAAATAAATAAATATGGTTATGAAACAAATTCTGAAATAAATAAATGAGGCAATAAATATATATAAATACACATTTATTTATTTCATAATGCCACATTTATTTGTTTCATGGGACTTTTATTTCATAATGACACAGCTCTTTCCATTTCCATTTCTTATATTCAAATGAACGGGGCGTGGGTAGCTCACTGGTCCAGACCAGTCTATGGTCCAGACCAAAGCAACAGCACCACAACACTGACTCAGGCCCAATCCCAAACCACGCACTACACCCTCCCCCTCCGTGACGGAGTGAACTCCGTGGAGTGACACATGAGGCTCCGTCCTGTCAGATGGAGGGAGTAAAGTACAGCGGCAAGCTTTGGGACAAACTCCCCTCTCTCCGGCAGAAACAGGAAATGCCGTAACTGTATTTAACAACGGTTTCAAATCAGCATCTCTTTGACAAAAAATGTAAATTAATAACTCAAATAAAACTCCAAACATCTTTAATTGTGTTACTTTTTTGTAAAGCTCTTTCGGTTTTAAACCTGATGTCTATAAGCTTCTTAGTTTTTGCAACAGTCTGTAAATATACACAACTTTATAATAAAATGCACACATTTACCTTTTTCTAGACTAAACACAGGTATGATCCCAAGGTAAAACAATGTGAGGTTATCATGAGGTTGTTAACATCGCAGTTTATCAGTGGATGTTTGATGGAACTACTTGTAAACAGCGTGTTTCCTGACGGACACACACACAGCGTTGAGACCGGTCAGGTCACACCGCTCCACACTCGTTGGTTTGGAACAGCACTTAATATGGAGGACCCTCCGCGCGAACGTGCAAACGGAGGGGTAGTGTGTAGGGGTAGGGTGTAGGGGGCGGTTTGGGATTGGGCCTTAATCTGGCTTCATATGATGTAAAGGCACGGACACACCAGGCCGATTTTCGGCGTCAGTGGGCGTCAGGCTGACGATGAGCATCGACACGCCCTACTCAGATTGGTGTCGGCAAAATAAATCACTCTGATTGGCTGTTCAGCTTAGCGAATCAGTGCATGAGAAGCGAAACGGAAGTGAGGGACCCAAACAAACTATTAAGAAGGCAAATCTGAGATTTCATTTAACTCCAGCTCTCGACACAGGTTCGGGAAAGCCCCATGAGCTTCTCGTTGTAGAGTGAAAATGGAACGCACACGCTATTTGTTGTTTGTTTGTATCATGCAGTCTGTTCTTCTTCTCTCGGTTATCAGCGTGTGCGTTCCAAAGTCTCTTGAAATAAATAAACATGACATTATGAAATAAAAGTCCCATGAAATAAATAAATATATTTATTGCCTCATTTATTTATTTCAGAATTTATTTCATAACCATATTTATTTATTGCATGGGCATATTTATTTAATTATGTATGTATTTAATTTTGGCTTAAACGGCATTCCATATAAATACACCCTTCCTATTTCTCCTTATTATAATCAATCTGAACCTTCTGTTTTAAGGGATGAGCTGCAATCACTCACAAGCATAATTTACCTACATTTGATTGATTTTTCTAACTTATAACTGAACCTATGAGGCAATATACCTCTAGTGAGTGGCCCAGCCCTTCGTATATTTTTCTGTATGTGGCCCTCGGTGAAAAAAGTTTGGACACCCCTGACCTATAACCTATTGTGCCTTATTATTTAATATTCCCACCTTGTCACAATGAATGTGTTATATTATATTGCACTCACCTTCATTGAAGCCTCCTCCAGTTTCTCGAGCCTCTCTTGTTGTGGTATGGATGCACTTATGCTCCTGGACAAAACTACAATAAACATATACATAGGGAACACAAATCAAATCATGTGACCATATGTTTCCTTATTACAAAGCACTAGTAAGCTTTTCATTTGTTTAAACAACTTCAGACATCTCACCCTGATATGGGTGGGGGAGGGCTGGGAGAGAGCGTCGGGTTATGGTTGCTCTCCTCCAGGTTTTCCTCCGTGCAGTGGGACTCGAAGTTCCCTCTGTGACTTCTGTCTGCCTTTTTAGTTTGTCCATCGCTGACTGGCCTTCCTCAGCGTCTGGCGTCGATGTGGTGGGGGAAATGGTACGGCGAGATTTGTTTGGGGGAACTGTGCTGGGGCTTGTGGACGAGCGTTTATTCGATGTTGATGTCAGTGAGTTGCCCTTGTAAGATGAAACAAATAGTAAAGTACCATTAACAGACACTATATATTATAGCCAGTGGTGTGAGGTAACTAAGTACTGTTACTCAAGTCCTGTACTCAGACCCGGCGCCAGAACAAATCTACAGAAAGGGCATATGATTTTCATGGGAGGGCACACAAAACCGCCATGTGCCGCGGCCAGTGTCGACGCCAGAGATTTTCTTTTGGGGGTGCTGTGGGGTAGCTTGACGTTTCATAGAGGGTGCTCAAACATGTAGGGTTTCCCATTAATGTACCGGCGCTACAGTTGAATGTTCTACTGCAACACTCCCCACGCACACAGTGTACCCGCGACTGTTACAATGAAGGCTCGATAATCAGCTCACAGCATATAAGCAGGGGTAAAGTGCCATTTTTTTTTAAAGTGGGGGGCAGACCTAACCTCCTCTCAGGGGTCTGGGGGCATGCTCTCCAGAGAAGATTTTTTTTTAAATATTGAAGTTAAAAGCATCAATCTGGTGCACTTTGAGAGCAAAATGAAGCGATCTATGGATACATCTCTCAACAACACCCATATGAAACAGAACTATAAACACTATTTCTTTATGGATATTTTACAAATCACTCCCCTTTTAAACTGTATTCTTGTTTTACTATCATATAGTATTTCATACCTGTTTTTCATTTATTACTCTTATATTACTATCTGACATCACAATGTCAGATGGCCCTCCCACAACGCCGGATCTGCTTGTACTTGAGTACACTTTTGAAGAAATTGTACTTTACTTGAGTATTTCAATGTTTCTACTTCTACCCAACTACAATTCAGAGGTAACAAGTGTACTTTTACTCCACTACATGTATTTAATACCATCAGTTACGTTGCAGATTCTGATTAATGATATGAAATATAACCAACACTTCAATAATACTTTGTAAATCCACAAGCTACCCTGCAGCATGCAATGTAAATAAAACGGGTTCCATCTTAACCAGCTGTAATAAACATATCGATTAATGAATTAACATATACTATATATTTTTGAATGCAGGACTTTTACTTGAAACTGTGTATTCCTACACTATGGTATTTCTACCTTGAGTTAAGTACAAGATCTAAGTACGTACTTGATATAATGCCCGTGATATAATATATATATATATCACGCTCAGCGCGTGATATAATATATATATATCACGCTCAGCGCGTGATATAATATATATATATCACGCTCAGCGCGTGGAGTGGATATAGAATTAGCTCAAGCGATGTCCGTTTACGTTAGATTAAATGGTAGTTAAAATGCCTTACCTCATCTGGAAAATCACCAGCAACGGCGACAGTGCAGCAACTGTAAAAACACATTTTCAATGTATAAACCAACGTTAATGGGAAACAAAACTGTAATTCTAATCCTAAAATATAAAATGTTGCTAACGTTACTTCGGCGTTTCACAACGATAACGTACATTTTATTTAGCTTTTTAACGAAGACAGCGATGACCCATCAGTACATGTTTTGGATACACAATACTTTAGATCTTAAATTGTTTGTCTCAAGTGTAAAAGTAAATAACATTACAAACCTTTCTTGTGCAGCTCCAGTATGTTTTTCCGCCATTTTTTCTTTCAAATAGTTTACTTCGCATCGCGCGCTGATCGCGCGTCCAAGAAGCCAAGCCCCTCTTATAACACAAGCACCATGGGAAATGTAGTGTGAATTAACTCAAGCGACTACAAACAAAATGCCGAGGTAAAGGTGGGAGCTGCAGTCGTTGAATACTTTAAAAACGGTAGAATTTAATGACAATATATGGAGGTCCAATTATTGTGATACGATTGAAATTCATGTACATCATATTACACATTGACGATTTTCACACCACCGTAAAGGCTTCAAATGCCAGGAGTTTTAATGCCCCACCAAAAGGGAAAAAAGCGCCTATGGTTATGGCATTTATATGAAGTATTAGGTAATAATTATTATTATTATGATAATCATCACACCTGGTCATTTATAGTCCATGTAAAATGTATTTTATTGCTTTTTGGATCTTTGAAAGTTTTTAAGCTTCTAATTATGATAAACCCTCCGATAGACTATAACCTTATTTTGACATGGAAGGTATTGAAAATAATCTTGACTTTTTCAATAAAAAAACTGCTAAATTAGAAAACACACTTTAACCCACCCAAAGAGAGGTGTGGCCTTATCGTCTAGTGTAGTAATACAATGCTGCATATATTTGGAGTAATTGGGTCGCATCAGAAGAAAGCTATTGAAATGAAATGAGACTTGCAAGAGAAACTGTAACATTTTCATTATCATGGAAAAGACTTGAAATCCCCCCCAAAAAAGAAGTTTGTCCTTCTTGCCCAGTTGTGGTATAACTACACATTTGCAATCATTAGGCCACATATGTCTGTATCCATGAGTTTTCAATCAATAAAAAACATGCAGTTGGATTGGATTTCTATTCAGATATTTTTAGGTGGGGGAAAGTGATTTATTTAAGATATTCTAGTTTGTTTATCAAAGATAAATATCAAACAGTTATCAATGTCTAATCTCCTGAGATTGGCATGTTAGCGAGTTAAGATCAGTTTGCAAATTAACACCAAAGGTACAAGATTGTCTTCCATCATCTGATTCTTAAAGAGATGGCACAATTGTCTTTGTCCCGAGTCATGTGTCATATGATGATACAAGGTTTAATAAGAACTGCCCTCTTTGTTCAGTTACACTTTATTCTCATACTAGGATCATTCTTTACTTACCAATTTATAAGGACAGGATAGTTCATGAACAGCATGCTCATCCCCTCCAAGTGAAGACACACATCAGTTTTTGTACCCAACAAAACATTTGACAGACTTCAACATTTGTATCTGTAAGTCTTTATAAGTCTGTTAGAGATGTTTTGCACTTTTTACAAAATCAAAGAGAGTATTCAAAAGAATCAAAAACACTTTTGCAGTTCTCTGGGAGAATGCCCCATTGTGTGCCTGTACTCTTCACTCTGGATGGCACACAGTCTCGCGCTCTCGCACTCCACTCAATACTGCTGTCTTCATGGCCTTGTGTAGCAGCAGGGAGGAACAGAGGAAGAAAGAGAGAGAAATGTAGAAAAGAGTTATAAAGAAATGAGAGAATTGGAAGAAGGAAGGGATACACAGAGTGTACAGTACTGCAGGCCATGACTGTCTCAGCTGTCTTGTATCACAACAGCTCTTATCCTCCTGCTCCAGAGTCTTCTCACCCTTTACAGTTTAGTTGGTAAGGGTAACGGTAGCTTTTGGCACTTCAAGAAGGCAGCCTGAGAGATCCTTTGCCCAGCAAGAACTGCAGGATACGATCCACCAGCAGAGCGGCGACAAAGTCCACTACCAGAACCTGGGCAATGATGAATTTGAACTGCAAAGAAGTAAACGGGAAGAAGGTTACCTCATGAAGAACATCATCATTAGGAGGCAACTTTAACATAACCGTTGATGGTTAATCATTTTCCACTCACCTCAGTTGGTATATCTACAAGAGAAAACTGTTCGTTGAATTCGGGTGAGGAACCAGAAAGAAGTCCCACAATCGCTAATCCTGACAGAGCGATACTCCATAGCAGTGGTCGATTCTCGGTGAGAGACTCCATGAAGGGATGACCCTTACAAACACAACAAGAAATGCCATGAGTTTACATAAAAGAATGTAGTGACAGTAAATACCAATTGTATTAAGAATAAGTACCTTGTAGTTAATGGCAAACGTGGCCATCTGCATGGCCATCGACATTATGTACACGGTGCTGTTGATTAGACTAGGTTCAAACTCTTTATATATATCTGCAAACCGCTCCGATCTGCAGGGAAAAAAAGGTCAAGGGAAATGTCATTATCATTTATAAATGTCATGTGACTATTGTAAATATTGAACTGCTGTTTCTCTGTCTTAGTTGGGTTTACCTTGGAGGACTTCTGCTTTGTGCCTCTTTGTAGAGAAACACCAGACTACAGAAGTGAACAGCAAACTGCAGCAGCACAGTCAACACCGTATAAAGATTAAAGATGTTTGGTAAGGGCCGCTCTCGAGACAAAGTTTTCAGTGGCTATATAAACAGAGGGGGGTAAAGGAACATTCAGTAAAGACACACTTGCTTGAATAACAATCAGTCCCAAGTATGTAGAGCAGGGGTGTCAAACTCAATTTCATCGCGGGCCACATTCGCATAAAGTTTGCACTCAAAGGGCCGGTTGTAACTATATAAATATATAATATATAAAAATAATGTATTATATTATACTATTGCCTCTGAATTGGATTATTATCGGATAGGATAATAACTTAGTAATTAACTACGTCTGAAAGGCAGCAGAAGTCCAGGGCAAATAATTGCAAGTCTCTTCAGTGCGCATGTCACAAAATGAGATGCATTGTGGGACATGTAGTTTATGGGCATCCTGCTTCTGTAGAGTGGCATGTAACCGTATAATAAACGTATTATATTCCTTGCAAGCTCTTGCGGGGCCACATAAAATGAAGTCGCGGGCCGGATTTGGCCCCCGGGCCTTGAGTTTGAGACCCCTGATGTAGAGCCTGTATTTTCCGACATAAATTCTCACCTTCGATCTAGAGATGAAGAGGAAGCATCCGGCTAAGAGCAGGCCCTGCAGTGTTGCCTGGAAATCGCTAAACTTGACCCCCTCGAGGTAGAGTACAGACTGGCTGTAGGCCAGCACCAGGGCGTTCAGAGCGAGGATCTTAAACATCTGGAGTGTTGTTACCAGAGTGCAACGACCTTGCTTTATTACATGGCAGACTGGGAATACAAACAAACATTCAGATGTGGGGACCATAGCATGCACCGATTTTTGCAAACTGAAATCATAAATGTATGTTACTTACTGCACTGTATGGATGAGAGTTTGGAGGTGAAGGGGGCAGCAATGGAAGCATCACCTAGCTTCACTACTTGTATCTGATCCTCTTCAAGTTCCCGTAAGACTTGACTGATCCTCTCCTGTTAGTGAATACATCCCTGATGTTAAGACCAGTGAACTACACATTTTTAACAGACACACATTTATTCTCTTTTTTAGGCTATATGTTTCTTTGGTAATGTTGGTAACTAGGGAGGAAGCCACCATGTTGCATTCAGTGGTACAATAAATCCGTTAGTAATTGGTAGACTATTCAGGAAGAAGGCCCTTTTTGAAGACACACACCTTTTGTGCTGCAAGCTGCTCTTCTCTCTGGGCCATGACCCTCTGCCGGGCTGCTCTGGAACTCAGCTTCCCTCCTGAGCTGACGGGTGGTAAAGGTCTGGGTTCAGCTGGGGGCTCCTTTTCTCTCCCCCGTTTCTTCCTTTCAGGCATTCGCTCAGGTGCATTCGCTAACAGAGCAACACCTGAGAAATCAAGGTCATCACTACATGTTGGGGCTCATATATAGGGACACAAATGCTTTCAGTCTTGGTGGTTGATAAATCTTACCTATGTGGGCATGTTTGAGAGCTCCAACATCATTTGTGCCATCACCACACATCAGGGTCACATAACCGAGCCCCTTAAGACTTGTGATGACAAATTCCTGAAACAGAACAGGAGGTTATTATAGCTCATGACTAACAAAAGACCCTTAATGTTCACCCTTTGATACTGTTGTACAGTACATTGAATCTGACATACATTCAAAAATGACATAATTATATATAACAACCCCCAGTCACACAAAATGAGTGGTGTCAACTAGTTCAAATACATGTATGTTGCTGTTGTATTGTAGAATAACATCTGTCTACATCTCAAAGTATTTTTGTATAAACAGCCTTCGATTCAAACAAAAAACACACTAATGATGTTTGAGATGGCTAAACTTGGTCTGCTATCTCACTCTATTGTGGTAGTGGTTTGTAAACCTCCATGTAATGTACATTTTTGGGACCTACCTTCTGTTTTGGACTGACACGGGCAAACACTTGAACGTAAGGCAAGAGGCTATTGAGTAGTTTGGTGTCACAGCTCAGTCTGGTGAGCCCCTCCCCTGTTACACACAAGTCAAACTGACTCACGAAGGCGGAAATGGAGGGCGGGGGCAGTGGTACACACACACTGCCATCAATGGACTCCCAAAGCCACGCACCTGGAAATAAACATTAGAGGTACATTATTCTGTACTGGTTTTGGTTGAAACACCCATTGCATGAGGATTACAAATAAATAAATGGTGATGCCCTTTAGATGCAACCTTTTAAACAGACATTGTTCCCCACTAGCTTACAGTAAAACATGTTATTCTGTAAAGTGATGACTTGTCTTACCCTGATCGGGGCTTTGCTGCAATACAAGTGTGTGTTCTTTCTGCATGAAGGCGAGCTCTCTCGCTACGTGGCACGCCGTAAGAGGGTTGTCGCCTGTGATCATCACCACCTGACAGCAAAGTCAAAGCAATTATAAACCATGCTGTTTAAGAGTGTATGCAGAATGTTGTGTTGTCAGCTTATTTACATGATGAGATGCCTCCTGGATCTCTCTGATGACGGCCTTGCTGTCACTCTTAAGCGGGCAGGACACAACCATGAACCCGGCAAAATGCAAGTCATACTCCAGAGCATCCCGACTCATCTCCCGGACCTATGAAATGCAAAAAGATCAGTCAAACCTGCTCGGACCAGACAGTCTCTGATAGTTTTAGAATAAAATAAAAATAAGAACCTGCTGATGACTGAGGTGTCCAATCTCTTTGTAACCCAAGGCCAGCACTCGAGCCCCTTCACGAGACATTTCCTTGTGGACTTCGTCATAATTTGCTGGACTTT